ATCGGTTATTAATGTTTGCGAAACTTAATTATATTACGAGCATCGGTCTTTTTTTATTGAACAGTAAATAAACTAACCAAAATATATCTTTTGATTGTAGCTATTTTATTTGTAACTATCACAACAAATCTAAATCATTTACATTGTGATGTTTAATGAATTTATTATATCGCGATGATTTTATTGTTTTGACGTTAGCAAAGCGTGATTATTTAAAAAAAATCAATTTCCTTCAGTTTTAATTTTGAAAATGTTAGGTATCATCCGGTTATATTACAGTTCTTCTTTAACTCAGAGCTACATTTGTTGTGTGTGCGTATTTTTGTTACCAAATTATAATTGTAAAGCTTTAAAATATAATAGTGCTTAATTAAACAACTTGTTAGAATTTTTATTGGCAATTTAAAAAACGCAATAGAACCTTCTATAAATATGATACAAAAGGTATTTTTATTTCTTACCTAGGAGGATTTCGAATACACGTGAACGCATAACAATTAAAAAGAAATAATTTTATTGTTATATTTAATATTTATTTATTTATCAATTCGTTTTTTTTTTCCTTCTATAAATTTAATACAATCTTTTTGCAATATTGTCAAAAGAGTTAAATACTTCAAGCAATGCTTTTATTTTGTATTGGATAAAAAATTAAATTTAAGAAAAAAAAAAAGAGAANATTTAAAAAAAATCAATTTCCTTCAGTTTTAATTTTGAAAATGTTAGGTATCATCCGGTTATATTACAGTTCTTCTTTAACTCAGAGCTACATTTGTTGTGTGTGCGTATTTTTGTTACCAAATTATAATTGTAAAGCTTTAAAATATAATAGTGCTTAATTAAACAACTTGTTAGAATTTTTATTGGCAATTTAAAAAACGCAATAGAACCTTCTATAAATATGATAGAAAAGGTATTTTTATTTCTTACCTAGGAGGATTTCGAATACATGTGAACGCATAACAATTAAAAAGAAATAATTTTATTGCTATATTTAATATTTATTTATTTATCAATTCGTTTTTTTTTTCTATAAATTTAATGCAATCTTTTTGCAATATTGTCAAAAGAGTTAAATACTTCAAACAATGCTTTTATTTTGCATTGGACAAAAAAAAAAATTTAAGAAAAAAAAAGAGAATATTAATATTTTAGGAAGGGCGCCAGTAAGAGATTTGCCATAGGCGCTTCTTTCCATAGATACGCCTCTGTTAACATCAAGTCCTCTGGAAATCAAGTCTGCGGGGTTAAGCCCTGATGGAATTTGTTTCCATTGGAAATCTTTAGATAGTTGCTGGATTTGAGACACTCGGTTGCTTACAAATGTTTTGAGCAAATTAGAAGGAGAGTTTATGCATGCTAGGGATATTGTTGAATCTGAATGTATTATGAGTCGATTTTGAGTCATATTGCAGCTATGACCTTCTGTGTAAGTTTTGAGAGAAGTAGACAGGAGCAAAGCTCGTGCCTAGGGATTGTCATGGATTTGGGTGGTGCAACCCGCTATTTACTACTAAGAAGTTGAGTAGTTACTTCATTGGAGTTATATACATTTTGTATGTAAATCACGGCTCTATAAGCCTTTGGAGATGCGTCTGCAAATCCGTGCAACCTTACGAACTTGCAGGAAACATCTGGGAACATGAATGCATTCTATATCCGGTAGTTTTAATGAAGTTTTCGCATTGTTTGGATACATCTGGAGGTAGTGTTTCGTTCCAGTCTAATTGAAGCAACCACAATTGCTGTATGAATATTTTAGCTTTGGCAATGACAGGTCTTAGTGGGTCATAGATGTGAGCTATTTGTGAAAATACTTCTCGTTTGGTGTAGTTGCAATCTGTACTGGAGGTAACCTTATACGCAAATGAATCCGTTAAACTGTTCCAAAACATTCCTAAAGGTTTGACCATTATCTCATCAAAATTTTGGCCAAGCGAGAATTCCTTAAGTTCAGTTGATGAAGCCTTGTTGGAGCACCATTTGTGCAAAGTCATGCCTCCTCGTTGGAGCAGCTGTGTTAATTCAGATTTGAGCTTTTCGAACTCGCTAAGTTCTGGAGCACTAGAGAGGCTATCATCCATATAAAAAACTTGAAGTACTGCCTTTGACGCTAAAGGAAAGTCCTTCTGTTCCTATAGGGCAAGTTGTTGCAGAACCCTTGTTGCTAAGTAGGGAGCGGATGCCGTACCGTATGTTACAGTTCGCAACTCATAAACTTTAGTTGGTGCGGTTTTACTGTTCTTCCATAGAATTCTTTGAAACTCGGTTTGCGGAGGATTAACCTCAATCATCCTGAACATTTGTATTATATCTGCTGTAAATGCATAAGCGTGTTTTCTAAATCTAATTAGGACCGAGAAGAGATTCTTCCTGAAACACTCCTCCTTTGCACAATAAATCATTTAAAGAATGTCCACAGGAAGTTTTCGCACTCGCGTTGAAAACTACACGAAGTTAAGTAGTTTTGTTTGATGGGCGTAACACACCGTGATGTGTAGAAAGTATCCGTTTGTGACATATGAATTTTCCTTAATCTCTTCCATATGTTGTAACAATTCATATTCGCTGAGGAATTCTGAATAAAGCGTTAGCATGGCGGGATCGCGTCCGTAACTGGTCTAGTCTTTTTGATGCGACTGTCTTAGAATTTCCTAACATTCCTTCGGAAAAATCAGGTTTGAATGGCATTTCCACAACGTATCTACCATCCGGTTTCCTATAATGCGATTTCGCGAAATGTTCGTTACAATATTTTAATTCATCGCTGCAAGTTTCGTTTGTTTCGATTTTTTCAATTTCCCAAAAGCGTTTGAGAGTTTTAATAAGAATGTCTAAGTTTTTAGTTGAAAAACAATGTTTTGGAGTGTTATAAAAATTATTGTTTGAAATAACACCTGAAACAAGATAGCCGAAACAACTTGATTGCAAGAATAAGTAGTCTGCCAGTTTTATTTTATCGCCATTCAATAATGAAATAAATAATTCTACACCTAATAGAATGTATATTTTTTGAGGAATAAAAAATTATGGATCAGCTAATTTAACTTCCCCGTGGGAATGTTCAAGTTCGAAACATTTAGAAGGTGTGAAATTTGTTACAGTGGTAACAATTAATAAATTTATTCCCAATGCGAATCATTATTTTCATTCGATAAAAAAGCTGATACTTTTTTTCTTTATATTTAATGATGTATCATTCAAACCGCAAATCGGGATGTTTATTTCTTGTTTTTTTCAATCCCAAGAAGTCTGCGCGGATGGCGAGAGGAAAGAACTCTCGCTAGCTGAGTATAGGACGCCTATGCTTCTCTGACATATGTTATTGCTGTGTTTATCAAAATGCTCTTAATTCCGTAACAGAAAAACGAGGCGTCGCGAGTCTGGTTTCATTCTCTTGAATGTCATAACTAGCTGTCATGATTGACGGTGTAGAATATTCATGAAGGAATGTGCGATGATTTAAGTTTTTCTTATAAACGAAACAAGAACTTTTGGAGTTACATTTGGATAATGGGTGAAAATCACTTAAACAATTTTTACAAAGGCGATTCTTTGTAAATAATCTAAACTTTTAAAACTTCATTTCTTTAAATGCATTGCAATGATACAGAACGTGTGTTTGTATTTTACAAGCGATACACAACTTAGGAGATTTGTCTTTAACAAAAAAAGATTTCGATATATCGGGATTAAATTTAGAAGAAATGTTAGTTTGAATATTGTTTAAAATTTGACATCTCCTTTCAAGAATTCGAGGAAATTATCAAATTCAGGCACATCGTTATCTTTCAATGTTAATTCAAATTGTTTGCGCGTGTCTCTGTCTAATTTATCGAGTACAATATTTAATAATAAAGCGTTGGATAATTCATCTCGTTCGAAATCAGATTTTTATTGATCTGAGGTTTTTCAAAATGTTATCCAATACTTTACGGAGATCCCTGCCTGATTCATACTTTAAGGGATGAATATTTAAAATGTTTTTGATACGACAGTTAACAATTTTTATTTTGTTTTCATAGCGTTATTCTAACGCTTTAAATATAGTGAAGAAAAGTTATCGTCAACAGTTTCTATGATTTTAGCTTCTCCTTTAAGAGATCCGCGTAAATAATGTAATTTTTCATAGTCAGAAAGTTCAAGATTTTCACTAATTAGGCTATTGAATTGTGTTGGGAACAAGTTCCATTTCTCGAATTTTCCGCTGAAAAACGGAAGTGGAATTTTCGGAAGTTTAATTTACGTCTTTTTAGGCTGATCACTGATAATAGAATTATCAACACTTTGATTTTGCATAGAGGTTTTAAAGCTTACCTCTAATTTTTGAATGTCGTTATCCACTTCGAAAAGAGAGGCCTCAACTTTAATCTTCCATTGCGATTTTGTAGTAGTCATCTTTTAGCGTTTCGAATTTCTGTTGGATACTAAGCACAATATCCAATTGAGCCTGAAGCTCAGAGATGTCCATCTTGTCTCGTCTTTTTGTGAGAACATTATTTAATTTCGTCAGCTGGCTTTTTGATGCTGCCAGGCTTGCGGTTTAGCGCTATGATATTTGCCATATTTAGCGGAATGAATTTATTAAATTCAATCATAACACTTTAAGTATTCCATAGGATCTGGATCACCTCCGCGTCGCTAAGGACCAAAATGTGCGGAGGTAGCGTAAATGAACAGTAAAAATGTGTTTTTTACTAAAATGAGTCTATTAGCATTTCCGTTTAGGGTGTATGTGCGTGGACTGCGTTGGCGTACAAACATAGACTGAGTTTAGAAAAGGTTGTGCTTGCCAAGTTGGTGTAATTACAGTGCGCCAAGGGAGATGCTCCAACACCAAGAGCGTAATTTATAAATACGGAACAGTATTCAATAGAATTGCGAAGAACAATTGAAAATTTAAATATTTGAAATTGAAAGAGAAAAAAACACTGCATTTTACATAGTAATAAAGAATTTATTACTGTAGTTAATAAATTAAAGAAAGTTTTGAAAAAATGTAACTGAGAAAAAATAAACAATTTTATTAAATTTCTAATTTGAATTATTAGCATTAAATGTAATTATTAGCATTCAGTATAAGTTTTAATACACTTGCTGTAGTGTGGTTTTCTTTTGACAAAGACTAAAAAAAATTGTACAACAACATAGATAACCCAGCAGCAATAAAGGTTTAATTTACGTAAATTTAGTGCATTATTTATGTTTCCACCTGAACAAGCACAAGAATGTTATTTTTATTATCAATTAGATCTACACATTTTAATATGTGTATAAGACAGTTAAAGTAGCCGTATATAGTTTCATACCTAGCTTAAATTTTTATATAATATATCTATGAAATTCTTTTGTACGATCATTTCAAAGAGATAACATTTTAACAGAATGATACTATTTCTGTTAACTCACGAGTTGGTAGATTTACATATCTTTCACTGCATAATTTATTAACTCCATAAACAAAACATAAATTGCAAAAAGTTAAGAATGGTAAAAAGAAACTTAGTTCAGTCGCCATTCTTGAAAAAAATTTCGCAAATTATACGATCATAGCTGCATGGGAAAATGAGTATAAGACATTGAAACATGACATTTATATTTGAAACTTTCAAGACACACATTCATATATTCGTTGAATCTAAAAAAAAAATTACAGAAAAAAAAAACAAAATTATTGTAACAAAAACATATTCAATGAATCTAAATATAACTCGCACAAAAATGTTTAGCATTTTAATTTACATGGAAATAATTATTTTAGGAATAAATACATAAATTATACTTCAAATTCTCACTCTTATTCTGAAAAAATAAACATATTAAAAAAAATAAAAACATCTATTATTAACATTGCAAGCTTGTAGCGGGGGAATAAGTACTACCAAAAAATTGCAGAAAATTCAAGCTAAATTTGGAAAAAAATTTCTTAAATTCAGCTGTAGAAAAGTTTTGGTGTTATGCATTGAAAGACATGGATATGGTACAAATAATAAAAGCATATAACAAGCAAGAAGGAAACCACTTTGTTTGTGATCAGGAATTCGTGTCAAGATGTTGCATGCCAGGCTTGTGGCATAACAGAAATGTTGTAGTAGAAAGACCTTATACATTATCAATATTGAACCAACAGTAAAGAGCTAATTGATGCTAAACTGTAATATTAAAAAACCGAAATATCTCACATTTTAGAAAATTTTTGGTAAATCAAAATATTTGCAGGCTTAAAAAAAACGTTAATTCTCAGGAATTCGTGCCCGCGACAAACTTGCAACCCTATCTTTTATTTATCAATCAAACAGATAAAGCATTACAAAATACACTCAATATCTTTTTCAGGTCCCAAAAGTAAGTTTATTTATCATAAATATTGAATAATTTACAGAAAAATTAAGCTATGTAATAAATACAATAAATAAAGACTAGCATAAATTATCAAAATGAAACTAAGGAAATTTATTTATTAAGCATTTGAAATTATTTCATTTTACAATCTCAAAATTAAATCAAAAGCTGAAGAAATAAATATTAACATTAGTTAAAATAATGATAATAAGACTAAATAAAAAAGTATTTTCCTATTTTATTTTTCAAAAAATTTAATTTCCATATAAATGTTTCATTATACATAATTGTTTGTAAATATTAGCTAGAAGCAATAAATATGGAGAAAAAAATATTAAGACTAACGACAAATTTATAACATGTACTGATCATGATTGTTTTATCACTTTAAATTATAGTACCTACAGTATTTTATAGAAATACACCAAAAAATAATGTTTAACTCCCAGTGAATTGGAGAGATTTAATTTTGTAGAACATAGGTCTCTTGTAATATCAACCAAAATTGTTACTTTGTATTATATAAAATTTTAGCAAGGGTTTTAATAAATAATTTTTGTTATATCCATTATGCAGTAGTATTTCTGAAATGACAACGCTAGATTTAGAATTTTCAGAAATATAGAGATCTTTATGTAAAATTATGTCTCACTTCTGTAAAATACAAATTTTATTTTAATATTTGAATTTTTTGAAAAATAAATATTTTGTTTCATTAAATATTTAACTTTTTTTTTAACTTTCTATACTTGATCAATACATATGTAGTATCTCAACTTTATTTCTTTTATAATATTTAAAAAGAGCTAAAATTGCTTTTTGTTTCAATTGGAAAATCAGAGGTCTATGATTTATTAGCATTTTATTAAATCTTGCTTTAAATATAATGTAGACAATTAGTGATACTTTTAACACAACTTTTCAATACAAGTATGCCTAACACTTGGATTAACTTAAAGATTCAGAAAAAGAATATAAAAATAAATAAGATTTAGAAATAGACATAACAGAAACATTTTAGTAAAATTTATAAATAATTTATAATAAGTTGATTGAAAAAAAATTAATGTTTAAGATATTCAAATAAGCAGATTCACTAATATAGGCAGAAAAAAAATCAGTGCAAAATTATAAACTGCAATATTTTTCCTAATATGCATCACAAACCAAAATTACTTGCGAATGCAAGTAATTTTTTAAAAGATAAGTGGTGTACCCGTTGTTCAACTAAATTAAACAGAGAAACTATCCATGACCTTTTTCAAGCTTTCCAACTCTTTTAAATTGTGTAAAAATTTCATATAATGATTTGTACAGTAGTGGTATTTCTTTATGGAATAAAACAGTGTTAAGAGTAGTTATTAATTTAAAATATCAGATACATTAATAACATAAACCAAATCCACTAATGTTAAATCCTGTGGTATATCCTTTCATACCTATATCTATATTGATTTGCCTCAATTAACTATAAAGAATGAGCATAGCAAAAATTGGCACTTTTGGAACATAAGTCATATAAATACTTAAAATTATATATTTTTAATACACATATTCTTAACTTTACAGTAACTAACAGAAAATGCTTTCAGGAAATTTACAAATTAAACTATTATATTAGTTTGTACAAAATATAATACGAAGAAATATAATAAAAATTAACAGGTCCCAAAAAAATGGGCATTTATATGAGCATCTTGCAGCAAAACAACAGATTCACATTGAGTGAATGTGCAGAATTATTATACAGTGAACATACATCTTAACCCTTTGTAACAGCTAGTACAACAGATGGAACAAAATAACAGGTGTTATCATGCTAAGTGCCATAAGCAAAAGGTTAATAAAAGAAAATATAATGCTTTTAATATTAGAACATTTATCAAGTTATAATATCAGTTGCACAGTAATGAGGTAAATAATGATATGCTTAAAGGGGTTAAAAATTAAGTTGACTTTTGTTATTGCTAAATACTTTCATTGAAATAAAAATATCACAGTAATGTCTATTTAATGTTCACTGACAGTTTGTTAATAATTATTTTTCATAAATATGGGATAAACCAGCTTTTTAAAGCATGAGCATTATATACAGAATATATTTCATCATGCAGGGTTCAAACTGGGACTTTCTTATTTTTACCATGAATACTTATGAAAAATATATTTTATTTACATTTGCACATTTTGACAATTACAAAATAAATTGAAATGATGTATAAATTAAAATAACTCTTTCACAGTGAATACTTGCAATTCAAGTATACTTCAACCTGATAAGTGTGTAACCTAAAATTTTCAACCATTTTACTTAACGTTTCAGTGGTTTATTCTTTTGTTACTCAATGGAGAAATGGTGCACAACAATAAAAAAAATCCTACAGCATTGCCCAGGTGCTAAATGTTAAAAGGCTTTTAAAGTTTCTTTAAAATTAAAACAATACAATACGCATGAATACAGAATGGATATCATAAGCAAAATACTTAACTCAAAATTTTAATAAAGCCAAAATTATATTTGAGTTGCAAGCATCTAAAAAACACACATTTGAAAAAATAAGATTTAACCTGATAATTCAGTTGTATTTTACAAAAATAAAATAACAGTAAGTATGAAACACAAACAAAAAAAAACAGACAAATGCAATGTTAGACACAGACAGACATTGAAAAACAACACCCAAAGGTTAAAATAAAAGAAAAACTCTATATGACTTAGAATTTGATTTTCACAAATAAATTATATAAATTGATTCATTTATAATTAGAAAACTGTGTCTAATAAAACTGCAGAAGTATTGGAAGATTTTACAGAAATAAATAGGATACTGAATATAAACACATTTATATACTTTAAACTGTAAAGAATTCAATTTGAACTCTTAAGTTATGAAATCAACCAATAGCAAACCAACTGTCTGACAGATCTTGAACATTTCAAACATTTAGAAAATAGATTTTTGATCACCAAAAGAAAATTTTTTTCTCTCACATGAAAAAAAATCACTCCAAAAATATGTAAATAAATTTAAAATTATTTACAAAACATTCCGTGTAAAATAAGAATTTAACGATATCATTTGCAGAAGTGAACAGCATTGCATAAATTAATTAACAAAATGTTCTCAATCATCTGATTAATCACTAAAAAATTTTATCTTCAAAAAAGAAAATAGTAAAGTTATAGTAGTGGTATTTGTGTTTTATAAGAAATTGAAATATGAACGGTAAATTTTAAAATAAATATTTGAAGTAACAAACAAAGTGATTAAAATGCATATTAAAAGAAAATTTGATGTGAAATTAAATTTAAAGCAAAAATTAATTCTCTTTTTATTTCTCTAAAAAATAGGGATATAAATATATTGCTTCAATAGAAGGGGAGAAAACATAAATTTATAAGGATAAATACTTCAGTAGGCTTACATTTATAGGACTGAAGTGTTGGCAAAATAGCTTAAGTTTTAGAAAATCCTTAATACTTTAAGTATTATTATACAACTTCGTAAGTTCTTTTCAAATGATCTTGATTTTCAAATGGTGAAATGATTTTGCATATAACTCAGAAGGATTTTCTGTAACCATGTCACAGAATTAAGAGCCGGATATTCAGGAGTAGTCTACCATAATATAAATAAACTTAATATATATTTAGATAGAAATACATAGTTTGTGATGAAAATAAACCTGTAAAAGAATTAGCACAAAGAAAAAAATAATAGTTTAACAAACACTAATAATTTTCACTCTTCAAATGTTTTAAAAAAAACAATGTGCAAGATGCAAATAACACACTTGTAACTAATGCCAATTTAAAATGACAGTTAAAACAAAATACAATTGGGACATACACACAATTGGAAGTTTTAAATATTGCAGGGAATTTAATCACTTAATTGTAGCTTTTCATTGTAGAGAACATTATTGCATCAATAAAAAGTGCTAACAATACTTTACTTTGAATAAGGAAAGAGGCAGCTATTAAAAGAGTTCAGTTTCACATTGATCTTAAAAAGCTCAATAGAAACTTGATTGTACTACAAAATAATAATCTTGGTACAAAATTGTTCTGATGGATGAAGGTGAATAAAAATATGGGTGCATAGCAATTTTTAAATAATTTTCTTAGCTTGATTTTATGAGTGTTTAACTGAAAATATTTCATCCTAACCTTAGCAACCTTTTAACAATATAAAATGATTTCTCTTTCTGTTATTTAATGTAAAATTTGAGCAATGAAGAAAAAGTGAGGAAATTTTTCTAAGAAGTTTTTTTAAAAAATATTAATATTAACCCACAAAAAAAAAATCAACGAAGTTGTAAATAAATTTGTAGACATATAAATAATTTAGTAATTTCTAATCTGTAACAATTTTAAAACTAATAGGTATATGTCTATGTTATGAATACACAATGACTTAAATTGTCACTAAAAGTTAGATAATACATTAAAATGTAAGTATCTTATTTTTAAAAAAATTCACCAACATATCAAATAATGTATTTAAATTGATCAGATTGCAGTTTTATTAGTACTTCATTTTCAAAAAAATTCACCAACATATCAAATAGTGTGTTTAAATTGATCAGATTGTAGTTTTATTGCTCAAATTTGATTAGTTTTTTTTATTTGATAAACATTAGACTTGCAAGATTTCAAATTCAGTAGTCATTGCTTCATGTCGAAACATGCTTACGGACAATACAATAATTTTTTTATAAAAAAAAGTTATATACATATCACTAAATCTTGAAAGGAGTTTTATACTTTCAATAAAACTTAAAAATGTCATAACAAATACAAAATAAAATCAACTTTTTGAGTGGTAGTTCAAGCTTTTTTTAAAAAAAAGTTGAATGCACTGCCTTCTTACACATTAAGCCACTTCTTTTATGCTTTTTATTTGGAAATTGTTGCAGAGTAAGAGAGTTTTGAGTTCAAATTTGCAGTGGTGCTTAACCATCAGAGTTATAAGAGAAAATATAGCTTAATATGAACTATTTCTCAATTAACAATGTTTTTAACTAATGTTTTTCCAAATGTTTCCAATGTTTTTCCAAATACATACGGGATTAACGATATATAAATAGTGTTATAAGATTTACAAGGATCTAGGGAACTAAACAAGTTATGACACGTAAATTAACTATATTATTAGAAAAAAAAATTTCACCAAAAACATCTGAAATTTAGTTGAATAGTTTGTACTTAATTTTTTAAGTATATATTAGTAACACTCAAAGAAAGTATTAACCACACTTTACAGCAAATACATGAAATTAGTACATTTACAGATTTAAATACTTAGAATAGACAGAAATGAATTTTAATTAGTTTTAAATTTTTCAATAAAATCAAATGGTTGAAGTTTCAGTCTTTACATCAATTATTTCCTCTCTTGAATCATGAGCATTTTCAGTCATTAAAACTTGAGAAGGATCAGAAAACAAGCTGAAAGACCATGTATTTGCACCTGAAGTGCTTGAAAAAGTTTGTTTGTCATTAAGGGGCGAAATCCAAAGAGGGCTTGGGGTATGGAAAGGGTCGAATTCAGTTGTAGCAGATTCCTAAAAAATAGCAAAAAAATGTTCAATTAAATAACAACCGTCACCAGAATTAAAGAAAAGTAAAAGTAATTCACAGAAAAATGAGTTAATATATGAAATAACATTAACAAGATCACAAACTCCTACAAACCCAATCACAAACTCCTATGACAGAATTTTTCAGGCTTTCTGCGACAAAACTCTAGCACTAATATCTTTCTGCAAGATACTTTCAATAATAACAAAGACGTATGTCACTAATTCAAGGTAAGAAAAACGCTGTGTTTACAAAGACAATATATTATTTTTAAAAGAATATGTAATATTTATTTCATTATAATATAATGGGTGACATTCCAGCATATTGTTGGGGAGAAAAACTCACTAATTATTTCCTTTATTGCATTTTGTAAATCACTAACACATTTAAAAAAAATAATTTAAAATCATGAAATCCGTAGCAGTAAATGCTGAAAAACAGATCAACGAAGAAATCACGTGAATCGAAATATTCAAAAAGAGGTTACGTATTTCGTTTCAAGATTTGATAGTTAATAACTAAGATTGGATTTTAAAAACTATATGGAAATAAAAAACAATAATTGCCAAAAAAAAACGATAGAATTGTTGCTTTAAAAAGTAAATACTCGAATGCACGATTCGAATTTCCCATATCGTCTGAAATATATTGGAATAATTAAAAACCATATGAAAATCAATAAATGCCGAAAATACAATCAAAACACTACAGGGATATCTGATACTATCAACGTAAATTGAATGTGACAAAAAGTGATAATTTAAATGTACTATTTAAATTTAACGTGTAAATTTCTACAGAAAAGAAAACCAAAATTTTTTCTCCCCAGAAAAAAATCTTTCTGCAAGAGCTCTGTAACGCTCTGCGACAATGTCACCATGGCGCTATGATTCTGTCACATGGCCACAAACTATAATAATTTTAATAAATAGTATTTTTCTCCTATAAAAAAATAGTACAGCAAAATATTTCTATTTTGCTCTAGTATAAAAATAAAGAATTGTTTTTAAATAGTTGATTTTCACTAACTGAATGATATGTAATCAGTTGTTTTACGGCTACACACTTTTCCTAGGTGTATTTCTCACAGCATAAGATTTATAGCCAATAATTACACTTTCATGTAGTTAATAACAATGGCAAGTAACACTTTCGGCATCTCCCTAGTAAAACTTTAAGAGGTGTTAAGTATTATACCTTTTTTTCAATACCACTATCTTCAGGTGCCATCACAACATTATCACTCAGTCCATTACTACTAACGAAACCGCAGTTGTCACAAGAAGATGACCATGATGTTTCAGGTTCCCAAGTCGTAGGTGGAATTGAATGTTCCCATATATTGTTTGGTGATAAATTTGGCTGTAACCAAAAGTGATATTTCAGTATTTGAGAACATAAAAATAAGTTATTGTTAAAAATATTGCATGCAGAAAAAGGCTTTTGGTAAAAAAAATGCAAGAAACAGGAAAGCAGGGAAAGAAAGAACAAACAAATTTCATTGTGGCCGAGAGCAATTGCTCACACACCATACATAGCTATTCTAGGGTTGCTTCAGTAACTCTAGTTATACTAAGTGCAGTAATATGACTGGGTGTTGGTGTTTAGAAGCGTTTTTGAGTAAACAGGCTAAGAAATTTTTATTAGTTTTAAAGAAATCTAGAATAGAAACTTTTTTTATATCTTAAAAGAAATGGGAGAAAGAGTTTTTTCTACCAAGCAAAGTATTAATCAAAGATAATTTATCAATTTCACAAACATAATCAAAATGAAGAATCTTTGGTAAATGCACTTGCTTTAAAAGATTTTTCTGTCACCAGAATTTATTTAGAGCAAGCTTAATAAAATTTTGTGAGAAGTGTCCGTGTTTAATTAAATGGAGGACTTAACAGAAAAACAAATCTGGAATTATAAATGACAAATTTTATGTATGAACACATAATAGTGAAATAATGCAACATAATAAACTAAGGAGAAAAGAATGAAATATTACAAGAATATCTCAGTACTTGATACCATTATTTATCCTAAAGAAAGCTAGCTTTCTCATGAAGTCTTTTTGGAGAAGAATCGAAAAATATTTTGCAAATATGGTTATTCTATAGTGTGTAATATAGCTACTAATATAGCTACCTAAAATATAGCTACCTTATTTTGTGCTATTACTCAATGCAAAGAAAATCAAATCTATATATTAAGTAAGTTTATATCTTAACACATATTTAGAAGGAATTCCTACTCGACCTGGAGAATTCCTACTCAAATCCACTTTCTACTTGACCTAGACAAGAAAAAACATTGAATAAGAAAAAAAGAATGGGAAAAAAGTGTCTCTTGAAAATAAAACCACTTCTGAATATCGCAAAAATATCCTACATGTTTGTGGAGTAACTACCACTACGAAAATTAAACATCAATTCACTTGTATATAAGACATGCCAACTTGATTCAATCACGAGGTACCTTTTGATAGATGAAGGTTGGCATGGTCGATAACTCCGCCCTCACATGTTTATATAGAATGTTACTTACCAATTACTAAACCCTGGTGGAAGTTAGCATACATATTATTCCAGATTTTCAATGTTGGCATCTTCTAATACCAACACAAACTGAAAACTGATATTTTTGATGAATTCAGACTTACTGTGAATAGTCTCCCTGTTTTCTCAAGAATATAGGTCAAGTGAAAGGGCAAGCCCTTCGTAACATGCAGCCTATTATCCATAAAACCAACACTCTGAAGATTTTGCAAAGTAATAGGAACCATTGCCTGCTGGAAAATTTTACTTATGCCACCAATGCATTTTTAATTAAAGGTAGCCTCCATACAGCATGGGGAAGATGCTAAGCTAAGTTTCCCACCAAATCTGAAGCCTTCTCTCATATTTAATGAGTATCTACCTTACTGTGTAATGGAGAAGAAATTCTTTACTATTCTCATTCCGTTATAATGGCATATAAAACTGCCTGGATCATCTTTAGTCTCTTATTTTATACTCGCGTTTGCTTGTAGTTAGCTTTCACCATGAGGTATAGCTAATTTGTTTTTATATCGCGAATTTCTTGTAGGATATATAAAGTAAAATAGTAGATGAGAAAAAAAAGAGAGAAACTTATCTCAAAATGGACAACAGTCAGGAGACTCATAAATGTTATGGAAAGGATTCAGTTATGGTAGTAAACTTAATGTGGCCTTTCCCCCAGGCTGCATATAGTCTATTGATTACAAAAAAATGCCAGAAGCTCATTTACTGGCCTTTGAAAGAAGAATTAGTGACCTAAATTTCCATTTTTCAAAAAAAGAATGCCTTTATTTACATTGTAAAATCTTTAAAGTGGCAGTTTTTCAACAACAAGGAGTATTTCATGAATAACCACCAATTTCTCATGACCTAAATCCCCAAGAAAACATGTAGATCTATAATCAGTAAGTCTGTATATGCAAAAAGTAGTTTTAATCTGTGGTAGAATTGAAGACTGACATCATTGACACTTGAGATAATATGTAATGGATATTTTGGATATAATCAGAAGTGGCTTTATTTCGACATGGCACTTTTTTTCTTAATTTCCTTTTTCGCTTATTTGTTTTGTTCACAAAGTTTTGTTCCAAAGGAGTAAGTGAATTACTCCTTCTGAATATGTGTTTAGATGTTGACTTTAATGCATGTGTTTAGTTCTCATTGGTTTTCTTTGCTGTTATGGCACTAATTATTTAATTGGGACACACTGCAAAGCAGTTTGCAGTATTCAGAGAAAAAACTGGTACAGGACTACAATAAGTCTGACCCAATTTTGAGCAAAGCTCTGTGTTTAAGAGCAGTTTACTGTTGTTAAGGTGGTTTAAAGCTGCAGTGAAATGGATGTAAATGGAGAAAAAAAATACAATCAAATTGTATTAACTCGAATTTTGCATCAAAATATTTCTTTATATTATAAGAAAAATTTCTGACATATTTCCTAATCAGTTACCATAAAACATTTTCTTAGTTAAATCTTCTTTGTCATTGCTCTAATATTTTAAATATTTTTATTCAAATATCTCTTGGGAATAATTTGAATTCGTTACAGCTATTAGGTTGCCATGCATCTACAAAGAGCATTGATAATTACAAAGAGCAGTGATGATTACAAATTTCTCCCAATTTCATAAACCTCAATTTCAATTCCATCTTCCAGTTTTATCAACATTTAAAGGAGCAATAAAAGTTATAATTTTTGTTAAATAAAAATGCTACAGTATGTTGTTAGTGGAGAATTCTATCCTTTTTAAATAAACACTTTGGATGCTTTGTAAGGAAATAAAAAGGAAATAACCAGTAATTTTCAAATAATCTAAAATCAGTAATTTTAAACCATAAGTTAAAAATAAAAACTGATTTGGGATATTTTACAGTGATATAGTTAAATTCATTGAAACATGATAACTGAAAATTTTATAACTATTTTCTGTTTAGAATTTATCATTGACAATCAATTCCCTTTACTCAAGTTAAGGTAACCGATATGTTATTAAATGTACACGCAAACACTTGAGATCTAGTTCTATAGCTACAGTTAAAAAAGGGTACTTACATGAGGATTAATAGCTCCACTAAGGTCTAAATTTAAATTAGTAGTGCCAGATTTTTCTGTCCAGGAATCTGAATTTGGACTATAATTTGTATCCCAAAAACTTTCCCTGATAGGTGTTAAATCAAACCCTGGCCAATCTTCTGAAGAAAAAAAAAACATCCATATAAATATTTTAAGATGAAAAGATAAAGTTTAAAAAACTCACATCACATCAATACACATAAAATAATTTTGAAAATTTTTTAAATTAATATTTCACTATATTAAGTTCAAATTAATAGAATTGATAAGAATAAATATGATTTTAATTTCTGATAAACTTGCACAAAATCTTTAAAAATTAAAGTAACACATAACCATAGTTTCCTTTTCTAAAAAGTAAAAGAATAATAGTAAATATTTCAGTAATGTAATTAACATACCATAAACTTCAGGTTGTTTATCATATGCTTCAAGTCTCAGTTGACGTTCTGTTTGTAAAGCTTGCAGTAAAGATATTTGTGACTTTCCAATCCAAGATACTGGTTTATTTAAAGAAGAAGAATCTATATTCAAAATTTAAAGTTAAAAAAACTCAACTTCAGTTTACTACTTATAATTTCTCAATAAAATAATTATAAAGAATAAAAAAAATCCATCTATTATTTTCAATTACATTGCTAAACATTTATGCAGAAAAATTTAAATCATATATTTATTTTGCATATAGAGGGTTAGTCTAAGTTTGGTTATGCTGTTTTATTGTACATTTTCTAAATTAAATTCTGCAAATAAAATGAAATAAATCAATATTTAATTAATAATTTGCATTATTAAGTATGCTTATTACAATATAAATGTTACAAAGCAAAATAGTTTGAAGTTATAAAAAGTAAGATAAAAGGTGTAATTATTAATATAGTATTTTAATGTATAGTAAAATTTAAGGTGTTGGTAAAGAAACTCAAAGTTTTATATATATACATATCAAGTGTATAATGTTTGTTAACTGAACCGATCTAACACTGAAAGAATAAAAGTAAGAGTATAAAGTTTAAATAAGATCAGCATCTGATAATATCCTTAATAAATGGCAGAAATAGGTAAAGTTACATTACTAATGCTATCAACATCAAACCAGGTTATTATTTAAGAGATAGGTTGAAATAAGTACTTTAGACTAATTTATTCATCCTTAAAATAATATTTCAAGTATTTAAATATTTTATGAAATATTTATAAAACATTTGAGAAGTACCCTGGTCTATATGTCAGTTATATATCATACATACCATTTTGCCTTGAAAGATTTTGGCATCCATGAATTAAGTCATTTTCTTTTCTTTCAAGATCTGGAGCAATATCAGTCGAAGAGCAGAATTCATTGGTTTTTAACATCCAACACCTTAACTTTGAGCCAGAGAGTTTGTCTTGTAAATCTGAACTAATGTCACCACTTTCAATATTCCAAGCATTTTGACCCATAGATGACTGATTAATAGAAGTTTTGATTGCAGATTGATAATTTTGACATTTAGATCTGGAGGAATCTAAATAAATTTGTAGAGAATAAGTTGAAATTTAGTTTGTTTCAAATATAACAGACATTTTAGAAAAACTTACATATTAATTCAAACTCTAAAATTTAGCAAAGAACACCGATTTTATTAAAAAAAATAATAATTTATACTAGAGAGATTGAAAGAAATACTTGTATTAAGGATGTAAGAGCACAACTAATCGAAATCAGCTTAAAATTAGGAAAAATTACCATAATTTTTAAACTAATTATTGAATTGTACACAAATTAACTGTTAGCACAGTCTGGTGAACTCACTTAATAAATATTAATTGAGAAAATTTGCTTGATAAAAAAAAACAAATTCAATTTTCAGAACATAAATATCTATTTAATTGTAAATTAGAATTAAGCAAACTCAGTCTGTAGAAGATAACATTTTTGAAAACCTTACACAATATTTTTAAGACATTAACTAAACACATGACACATTTTTGTAACAGAAAACAAATCTTACTGGCTCAAAAGATACATTATAAGTAAAAATTAAAGGCTACTAATTTCTTGCGAAAAAATTAATCTTTTTGTTATTAAAAAACTCTTAGTTCCCTCACAAAATTTGCACATATTTTACTATTACTACACAGAGAGAATGTCCGAATGACCGAAATCTTTTATTTTAAGCAATCAATGAAATCAATATGTACAATTATAAAAGCAGTCATTGTTACCAGCAATCATAATCTAACAGAATAATTGCAAAAATAGTTATTGCGCAAAATTATAAATATGTTGAACATACATGAGCACTTAACAATGCTGTCTGTTTATGCGTATATATACACGAACGAGCACTGTATACAAATGCTTGCATGAATAAGTTAAAAAAGTTGAATGCTTACATAAGTGGGACACACAATGGTATTGGATTTTTTAATCTCGTAAATAAGAATCACAATGTACGATATTTAGATTGTGTGAATAAGAATCAAAACGCGAAACTTTTAAATCAGATAAATACGAAAATCGATATTTGATAATAAAATCGCGATTTTAAAAAAGCGTTAACACAAATCGCGATATCGGAATTTTAAATCTCGTAAATAAGAATCGCAATGTACGATATTTAAATTATGCAAATAAGAATCGAGATATTATCAGATTCTGGGCTTGGGATTTCTTAAAGGCTTTTTGTATTGTTTTTGTTTAGCCATAATAAATAAAAATCTACAAGATTAATTGAATGAGCATATAAATATTTTCACCGCAAATCCGCCACTATTTTTTTTTATTATTTCGCTTGCTTTCGCGCCAGCAAACAACAAGCTAAAAACGGTTCATTGTAGACCTCGCCCAAACTTCAGCTGTCAAGATAAGGATAATTGCTTTCAGTTGCGTTAAAAAGCCCCCCTAGAACGGACTTGGCTTAATACTCTCTTGGTATGATACAGCTATTTTCTCTTGGCGTTTTTCTTATAACAAGGTTACTATTTTTCCTGGTATGAAGAAAGATTTTTCCTCTCCGCAAGAGTGAGATGGAAGTCTTAGTCATGAGAGGGAAAAGTCTTAGCTATCAGTGGGAAAATTTTCTAAGAATGAAAGAAGCGAAAGAGCTGTACCTTGACTTACCACCATTTCATGAATAGCTTATCTTGTCTAACGAATTGAAATAGATTTATGTAGTGTTTCTGCAATTTTAAATAAACTATAAAAATAAATAAAGTTTCAATTATCAGAACATTTTTTCTAAACATTGGAAGTCGTTATTAACAATCGCATTAAAGAAATATTTGAAGTCTTCAAGAATTTTTTTAATTGTAGTTCAAATCTAATTTTTCACTGAGTACAATTATTACGTAAATTAAATTTTATGAAATCGATCATAATGTTATTATTATGATTAATAATTTTAAACCATAAAATGTATCGTCTGTATGAATGAGGTTTGAAAATGCGACACATATAAGAATTTAACATAATATAGTAACTGCACCGTAAAAACATAATTAGAAAAAATAATTATTTTTCTCAAGATTTTATGAGATAATGATTGAAACTATTTCTATGCATTGATATTCAAGCCGTGATACAGACTTGCGAACTAAAGAACTAAATTAAATTCATGTTCAGTACAGAACTGAGAAATCATTCAATAGTCTGTAATGGTATTAACAAAATATTTTCACGTCAATTTTATTTATTATTATTAAGCACAACATTGTTAAATGCGGTTTTATAATTAACTCTCTTTTTTTCCCCAGATCCAAAGTTTTTTCTTACTTTTTCAAAAATCTTGATCCTGAAGCCTTTCTTTTTAAAACTTAGTTGTTCTTTTTCGCAAATAAATTTTTCGACAATTTATTAGCTTTCAGAAAAATCACCTTTTACTAAAATAAATTAAATATAGTTAGTTGGTTTTTGTCATACGAAATGAAGGAATGTAAATCAATTTGCTCAATCCAAAAAATTTTTTAAATTTAAATGAAATTATATTTTATACAAAAAGAAAAGAAAAGTACAGAAAACTTTTTTTACACATAGAATATCCCAATAAACAACGCCTGTAAACTACATTTTTAAAATTTTTTTAAAAGTAAAGTTGAACTTTTAGTTTTTATTAGATGTCACAAAATAACATTGAATCATGGAAAAATCTAATAAAAACTGGACCAATAATTTATGAGGTAGGAGACATTGAAAAAAGTTTGAATAGCAGAATTAAAAGAAAGTAGTTTAAATCCAATTAGAATTATTTCTCAAGAAATACTGTAGTCGTGTTTAGGTCATGAAATTTCTCATACTTAAAAAAAATGTTTCAAAGCTTTCAAAGAACAGCAATGAATTACAAACGAAAACAAGTATTTTTGAACACCCTATGCCAAAAAATAAAGCAATTAATTTGAATGAAAGATTAAAAAAAGATTGATGATGAATAGATGAAATAAAAGATTTTAATTTGCATTGATAACTTTGGTTGTTATTTGCAAACTCCTCCATACTTAAAATTTTAATAAAATAGTAATTTTTTTCTTGCAACTTTTTGGGCTATAACTCCGCAGATAATCAACGAAATTTTCGGAACCATTTTCAATCACTATTGAAATTGCTATTTTTAAGTTTATATAAAAAATTGTTAAAAATTTCTGAAGATATGGGGTTTTAAAGTATTTTTTCAGACTATGCATGCGCGGATTCATTTTAGAAATGTTTTTATATATTTAACATTTTCATCCATTTAACATTTTTATATATTTATTATATATTAAACAGGTGATTAAGAATTTAATGCATTCTTTAAAAAGTAATGAAAATCACGTCTCCACTCCAAACTAATCATCATGTAGATTAGGGAAAAGATATACCATGTGATTGCTATTTTATCATGGAAGCCAACTCAGAAGACAAGGAAACCCTTAATTTCAGAACTAATTTTTTTGTGAAAGGTCTTTAAGAACTGAGTTTGCGTTACTTGAGTGATAATTCTATTGATATTATACTACTAATTCTATTAATATTATTTTGTTAATTTTTCATGTGTACTATAAAAAAATATACAATTGTAAAGTTCAATTTTTTTTAAATTTGTCTACCATATTAAATTTAATGACAATTAAATGAATACCAAGGTGGCCCTTGGACGACTAAATTTTTATTGCTAAATTAAACCCTACGAATGACCTAAGTATTTCTAAAGTTATAAAATAATCTTAGTATTTCTTGAGAAATTAATAAAAATGTCAAAATCTAAAAGTGTCTCGCCCATCATTGTAGGGCAGTATGTATTATTGTTACTCAATAGTTGTATTCTCTGTTGAATAATTACTCGCACAAACATGTGGAAGTAGAGCGTCTATCAATAATCCACAGTAAATCATTCTTATCTCTAAGAATATTTTAAAGTCACATTAAATTAATTTTGATAGACTATAATCAAATGATCACTGACAAAGTGTCCATCTTAAGGGTTTAAAAGACCTCAAAAATTAATAATTTCTGATTTTTTTTAAATTTAATTTTTATCTATTGAGAGATATTTAGAGATTATTCCAATGCACAAAATATTCGTAAAGGTTCGTAAGCATTAAAAATAGTCTTGAATGTATGCACAAACTGTAATTTGCTTCAATTTTTGAATTTTTAATTGATTGACTTGTATAATCAATAATCTGAAGAACATGTAAACTACTATTAATTCCATTTCACATAGGATCAATATTTTTTTTCCCCTTTAAGTTTAGAATATTTGGTAAATTTGGCTTGACGACTTTCATTAAACGATTAAAAAAATAATGGCCTATCGGGGAATATTCACGGGCGGGTATTCAGAACATCTGAAAGAACTTTTTAATTTAATGAATCCAAAAAAACTGGTATTTATAAGGAAGTAATTACTGCAGACAAAGTTTAACTGCATGGAACAATCAGAACTATTAAAAGAGGATAAAGTATCTGGACGAGTATCAAAGAAAACAAAATGGTGATACAAAAGAACATTAGCAAAATGTAATAACAAATGAAAAAACAACGATGTTGACATTGTTTGAAATAGGTATTTTTTTTTAAATAATTATATGCTATACAACTTTTGATAAACCAGTACAGTTGTAACGCTCAGCATACCCATGCGCCTTATCAGGCGCATGGATATGCTGAGCTTTATGACGTATTATATGATCATTTTCTAGAATTAAGGAAGCTTTGCAATCATCTGAAATACACTTATAATAGATTTTCGTTTTGTGTTTCATCCTTATTCTAAATAAAAATTGATTAAATAAAACTAATTTACCACCTCAAATTGATTCGACATACTCAAACTGAGCCATTTTGTTTGCTTGGAGCCAACCTTAAAAAGTGATAGTGTTGTTATCTCTTCCCTCTTTTACAAACAAAACTGGAAATTCAACTCCTTATCAACCCATACCCAATATAACAGGTGCTCATAAAGGAAAAATTTATTGTTTTGTTAATTTTTAATACTTTTTATTCCTGTACTGATTCACTCTTACTCTTTCACTTATTTTACACTACAATATTTTAAATCGTTAATTTTTTAACTGGAATTTTTATATTTTTCTCATTATTTTAGAATAATTTAAGTCAAAATAAGTGAAAATATTATATTTAGCATTTTAATAATCTTTGATTATAAAACACAACATGAAACATCATTGTTTTTCCTGCGTTAAAATTTTTCTAAACATGACACTTCCAAACAATCTTCAAATGTGCAGTTATTTAGATTTAAATTAAGAAGAACAATTATTCATTATTGAAATTACAAAATTAATTATTGATATACTTTTGAGTAAGAATTATTGATACAATTTTATAAAAAAAAAAAAAAAAGAACTTTCGAATAACGCTTTTAATAAAAATACACAAGTTATTTCCAGATAATCTAAACGAATTTTTAGTAACTATTCGAGTGTTTTTTATAAGTAAAAAATACCTAAATATATTTTTGCTTATAACTAGAGCATCAGAAATTTTTTTTTTAAAACGCACACCAGTCTCCAATCTACGTCAAAAGATTATTAATATGCTACCTTTGTAATTTTTCACCTACATTTTACGACGACGACAAATGAATCAACAGCAACAAAAGCATTCTTTATAAAAAAATTTAAAGCATTGCTTTAACACATGGATCAATAAGTTCCGAGACTAACCCAGAGATGGCGCTCGTAGTAAACCAGTAACCAGGTCTTTCTAGAGTACTAACCTTTGCTTGAAACGTGTCAAAATTTTAAGTCGATCGGACCAGAAACAGCTGAGTTATCGAGGTTGGAGTAAAGTCGTTTTGTAGTTTGTTTAAAAAATGGAAAAAACAGAGTTTCGTGTTCTGATAAAACATTGTTTTTTAATGGGTAAAAACACTGTGCAAGCAAAACAATGGATTGACAAATGTTACCCGGACTCTTGTCCATCAAAAGCAACGATTTGTCGGTGGTTTGCCGAGTTTAAACGTGGTCGTACCGACACAAATGACGCGGAACACTCAGGTAGACCTGTGGAAGCCGTTACACCGGAAAATGTGAGTGAAGTGACAGAAATTATAATGGAAGATCGTAAAGTGAAGCTCCGTGAGATTGCTGAGATGACACAGATATCATATGGAAGTGTATTTACTATCCTTCATGAAAAATTGAGCATGAAAAAGGTTTTTTCCAAGTGGGTGCTGCGATTGCTTTTGATGGAACAAAAACAGCAACGAGTCGATGATTCAGAAAGCTGTTTATCGTTACGTGACCATGGACGAAACATGGTTACATCACTACACTCCAGAGTCGAAGCGGCAGTCATCTGAGTGGCGCACAGCTGGCGAAAGCCGTCCGAAGCATCCGAAAACGCAGCAGTCAGCTGGCAAAGTCATGGCGTCAGTTTTTTGGGATACGCATGGCGTGATTTTCATTGACTACCTCGAAAAAGGTAAATCGATCAACAGTGATTATTATATTGACTTGCTGGTGCGTTTGAAGGAGGAAATCGCAAAAAAACGACCGCACATGCAGAGAAAAAAA